TTCGGTGTTTCCTCACTTCTTGTGGGATCATTCTTTGTCTCCTTCCTCATCTGCTTGTCCCTGGCACTGCTTCTAAAAAGACTTGGGGATTAAAGAAGTCTTAGTGCTGGATCCCAGGGACAGAGACTGAAGTTAACATGTTCCGAGATACCGTGGCTGGAAGTGGTAAGTGAGGCAGGAAGCTCTAGGAGATGAAGAGTCCAAGTGAAGTTAGAAAATATAATCCAATTCTACAATATCTTTGTGTGGACAAGTTCATTTCGGAGTTTCCCCCCCCCCTTTTTTGTTAGTATTGGAAAGCACTGCTGTGAGTTCTTAGTGTATAATTTTTAAAATTTAGATTATATGTCTGACAGCAGAAATGTGCAGTTTAGTGTTTTGTACCGGCAAAATGTGCTTATTAGCATAATTAGCATAAAAGAAACATCCTAAGCTTTCAGGAAATCCCCCTCCTGGCTCCTTCCTGTCACTACTACTGTCTCCCCGAAGAAAACTCTCTCATAACTCCTCGTAGCATCGATTGGCTTTGCTTGTGTTCCAGCTTTTTCTAAAGGGACTCAGGCAGTACGTTTGACCTTCAGTTGTCCTTACATTGTAGGGTGTATCCGTTGTGTCATGTATAATGCATTTTACTTATTGTCTACTACCCCAGTGTGTCACTGTCTTACAGTTTTACCTCTCAGACCGGGGGAATCTGGTTCCTGGGGACACGTCTGTGTCTCCCCCTCCCCGACCGCACCCTGGCGGCCAAACCGCTGTGCATCCATGGTGGGTGTTGAGCAGGAGCGAACTGCTTCGCGCCCCCTCAAACGGTGGCAGATCCGTGCTTTGTTTTGGGGCACCCCAGCACACACAGCTTTTGCTGCCTCCCTTCCCCCTTCTGGGGGAAACACCTCCCTCCTGGGGTTGGGAAGGGGGATTCTCTGTGCCTTCCTGGAGGCAGATAAGGTTTGCGTTTTCTCTCCCTGCCGTGTCCCCGGAGTGAGGGTGTTTCTTCCCTCGTTTCTAGTAGCCGAAGGATTTGTTTCATGCGAGAGCAGGATTCAGGGATACACCATGTTTCGTGCCTGTCACCTGTCTACAGCCCCAAGCTTCCTGCAAGACTGAGCCACCAGGGGGACGGTCCTGATTTGCCCCATCTTTCTCCTAAGCACCCAGCTGAGGCTGGCGGAGAAGTTCTTAGAAATGAGTACAAACTCAGCTTGCATCTGGGACCTCTGTTTGTTTGTTTGTTTAATGTTTGTTTATTTTGAGAGAGAGAGAGAGAGCAGGGGAGGCGCAGAAAGAGAGGATCCCAAGCAGGCCCCTAGCTCCCAGCGCCAAGCCTGATGCAGGGCTCGAACTCATGAACTGTGAGATCATGACCTGAGCCGAAATCAAGAGTCAGATACTTAACTGACTGAGCCACCCAGACACCCCGTGAAACCTCTATTTTTTTTAAAAAACTGCTGCACTGTCTCTCTCAAAAATAAACATTAAAAAATTTTTTTAAAAAAGGGTGCCTGGGTGACTCAGTCGGTTAAGCGTCCTACTTTGGGTCAGGTCATGATACTGCAGTCCGTGAGTTCAAGCCCCACATCGGGCTCTGTGCTGATGGCCCAGAGCCTGGAGCCTGCCTTGGATTCTGTGTCTCCTTCTTTCCTTGCCCCTCCCCCTCTGGTGTGCGCGCGCGCGCGCGCTCTCTCTCTCTCTCTCAAAAATAAACATTAAAAAAATTTAAACTGATGCTGTAGTTCACATTGGCCTTCAGGAATTAATTACCATTTTATCAGATTTTTTTTTTCTTACCTGCTTTTGTGGCAGTCATCTCTCTCCCATGCCTTGTCCAAAGTGGAACCATTGGTATGTCCTTTCTCTTCAGAGAGGGGCTTGTTATTCTTTGCACTTTTCTTGCCTGCTTTCTAGACTGACAATTTAATGTCCTCTTCCTCCAGAGAATACACACTTTTGCTTTTGGAGAGAAGTAGGGTAGGGATGATCGACTTGGTGTGATTAGGGAATGAGTTTATTTGAAGCTCAGCCTCAGTCTTTGTAGGGGATGGGCTAGTTCCACTTCGTTCTTAGTCTTCAGAGGTAGACCCAGGCAGTTGTTACTAAAGGAACACCGTTCTTAGATCACTCTTCCCTTGGCAGCATCTGAACTCCAGGTTTGCTCTTCAGGCCGTGTGAGAGTACCAGAAGTTCCCCATAACTTCTTAGTAGTTTAGCCATTACTTTTATAGGCAAATCTTACTGGGAAAACAGTAGCGTTCCCTGCCCCTTCCCCACCAAAGAGTGCCTGGCTAGACCCTGTGGACTTCTCTTGGGGTTCCCCTTTTTAGTTTGGATTTTACCTATTTTCATCCAGCTTTTCTAGTTTTCTTTGGTAGGAGCATTAGAGATAGGTGTACACACACACACATATATATATATGCCTGTGTGTGTGTGTCTGTGTGTGTGTACGTACGTATGTATATACACACTTGTCTGCCATGGCTGGGATTCAAGGTCTTATAAGTAACCTTCTTTTAATCATATAGAATCATTCTAAAAAAATAAATATATAGAATCATTCTGTTTGGAGCTTACTGAATAAATTGTGTATCTGATCTCTAACTCAGACTTCCTCTTCACATTTTAAAAAAAATGTGTATTTACTTTTGAGGGAGAGAGTGAGAATAGGGGACGGGCAGAGAGAGACGGAGAGAAAGAGAATCCCAAGCAGGCTCGGCACTGTCAACACCAAGCCCAGCCTGGGGCTCGAACTCAGGAACCATGAGATCGTGACCTGAGCCAAAACTAAGAGTTGAATGCTTAATCGACCGAGCCACCCAGGAGCCCCCTCTTGAGATTCTCAGGTAGAGTGTTGATCGAGTTGGGGTCGACAACTCCCCCAGATCGTACGATACAATGCTTTTGTCATCTGCCTTCTGCTGATTCCTCACGGGGAGTGTCTGTGCATAGGAAGGGAAGCAGACAGGTGATCCCAGGTCTCTGTCATTTGGTGCAGCACCTTCAGCATGAGGCTCGTGTGCACTTGCCAGCCACTGTCCTCTCCCCTAACCCACCTGCCGTGATTCTAGACAGATACAGGCAGGCAAGAGAATAGTTGTGAATAGTGCCGTTTACTTTACACTTGACTCTGCTCTGTTTTGGTGAACAAGCAATGGCACGTGCTTACTTGGTTTGTTAGGAGGTTCAAAATAATTACCGTTTCTGTCTTGTGAGATGGCAGACGGGGGCTCACTAAGAGAGTACAGGAACTGTGGTGCAGGTAGGTAAGAGGACATCACTTGGAGGGATGGATTTAGTACAGAAGGAATCACCTGCAAACAGAATTTCAGAGGGTGAAGCCAGTATGTTGGTCGGAGGTAAAACTGGATGACAGAATTGAAACGTTCGATCAGAACAGCCATGATGGAGACCAAACTGTAGATAGGCAAAACAGGTCACTTTACTCCCTTTAGGATTTTAAACAGGCACAAGGAAATGAAAACACTGTCAAGTTTAGACAGAGGAGGGCAGAAATGAACGTTACAGGACGTGGTACCAGAGGTTCGTGTGAAATCACAACCAGAGAACTGTAAGTCCTTTGATTTCTAGGCTAGGGACTGCTGACGTGTATCTTGATTTTAATCTCCATATTTACAGTAGGATGTTGATGCCTGCCACATAGGATCAGCTTCTCAGAATGAGAACAGGGCCCTACTTTATTTAGTTCAAATTGCTATATCCCTTAGTTGCTCCTAGAATTACAAAGCACTTCTACACGCACGAGAGGCATAGCAAAGTGGAGACGTTGCCTGTGTATGGATGGATTACACAAGATGCCATGTTCTCATGGTTCCTAAAGGTTGAAAGAAAATAACATGAGGTAATTCAGATTCCTTAGGTAAGTAATTATTTCTTGCTATATGCAGTTAATTTAAAAAAGTCCTCGTGTTTAAAACTTTGCCAAGGACATAGATAGTCATAACTATGAATCTCGCTTATTTCCCACAGGCAGTAGACCCCGGTTTCCTAGTGTAAATCAGATGAGAGTATTGATTTGATTAATCTCCGTGGGCGTGTGTCTCCCACAGGAGGTAGTGTGTCAGTTAGTGATGCCACAAAAATACTTCCTACACGCCACTCCAAAACTCAGCAAAATACGACGTTAAACATTTATAACACTCACAAGTACGATCCTGGGGTTTACGACAGGTTTGGCTTGGCCGAGCGGGTGTGTGTGATTTGTCTGTGGCAGCCCTGCCCTTGTGTCTCTCCTCCTTCCTAGACCAGTAGGTTAGCCATGGAACGTTCTTGCGTTTAGGGCAGAGCCACAAAGGCATGAAGCGGGCCCTATCTCCAAAGCTTGGAACCGGAGCACTCTGATTTCCGTGCATATATCGCTGAGAAAAACTGGTCATATGGCAAGTCCAAAGCCAACGGGCAGTGGCATACAGTCTGCCCATGGTGGGGGTCATGGCAAAGATACAGAGAAGGATATGAAACAGAAGCAGTACTCAAACCTCAGGTTACTTGTATGTTTGGACATGAATGCTTATAGTACATTTCCTCACATTAGAAGAAATTTTACTTTATTCTCATTTTCTTTAGCATGATATTTAGTCTTTGATTATTATCATTTCCTTCCAGCACTAGTCATAGGAGGTACTAAGAATTTTCTGACTATGAATTAAGTTAAATTTGTGATTTATTTTTATTTTTATTTTTAACGTTTATTTTTGAGACAGAGAGAGACAGAGCATGAACGGGGGAGGGTCAGAGAGAGGGAGACACAGAATCTGAAACAGGCTCCAGGCTCTGAGCTGTCAGCACAGAGCCCGACGTGGGGCTCGAACTCACGGACCGCGAGATCATGACCTGAGCCAAAATCGGCCGCTTAACTGACTGAGCCACCCAGGCACCCCGTTAAATTTGTGATTTTAACAATAATCAGTGAGACCCACAGACCAATCCACAGACATAAATAAATATGTGGGAGGAGTGCCAGTTTGACTCTGTCCTTTGTGTCTCAGTTACAGCTGAGTGATGGTGACATGATTCCCCTGTGAGGCCAGATTTCAGCTCTGCACTCCACACAGTCCTAACCCACCGAGGAGAGGTGAGAGTTGAAAACTGTCGTTCTTACGCTAAATTAGTGAGATTCTAGTCACTCTCAGATCATCAAAATACCTGAACTACAATTGGGAACTACGTATCTTACGCAAGATAATATTTCATCAGGGATTACATGATGTGAAATATTTTACTTTTCTTAATTCTTGTAAATATGGTAAATAGTGCTTGTGGAAAAATATCGCAAAATAAAACATCCGAACTATTGTGTGCCTATAAACAAGGTATTCATTTTAACTGCATTGTCTTTACAATGGTGTAATAAATATACTTGTGCTGATATGACTTTAAAATAATTTTACCGATTCAAGTTGGCCTTTAATTTTACACTTAAAAAACATTTCTTAAATGGTTTGGCTAGCCATCTCCCTATAAGGATCTGAATTGTAATCCTATTTCATTTGTTGGTAAGTACATCACCTGTCACTTGGATGCATTTCTTCAGACCCTTTCCAAGTTTCAGTAGTAAGTAAGTACCTTCAGTTCATGTGACCTGCCATTAGCTGACAAACTGTTGTAGCACTGGGAGTGTCAGTTCACTCAACAAACATTCTGTGTATTCTATACAAATACGAATAAGGCAAGTTCCTTTGCCTTGGAGAACTCACAATTTTTGTCTACACAAGTGATCACTATCCAATGCATGCAAATGCACGAATAAAGGCGCACAGATGAGGGATGTGGTGCATTTGAGAAAGTCTTCAAGGAGGAAGAGTTTTTAGGTTGGGTCTTAGAAGACCTTAAATATCAAAGAGCTCATTTTTCACAGGGGCAGGGGAAGGACGGCTCAGGCAAAAGCATTTAAAAACATGCAGGCGTCAGATCATGATGGTATAGAACGTGTTTAGCAATTGCAGTGCAAGCAGAAAATGAATAGGTAAATTATTTTATTAGTTTTTACAAGACATGATGAGGGGTTTCACTAGAACAGTAGCATTATGGCTGGAGAGAAGGGCCTTTTGAAGAGAGATTTTGAAGATAGTTTGATAGGACTTGGTGATCACATGTAGTGGAACGGGCGGAGGAGGGTGGTGAAGAATCACAGGTGGCGTGAGGTGTTTGTCTCAGGTTACTGCCGAGAGCATAATGACAGTCATTGAAACGGGGAATGCAGGAGAAAGTAAGGAATGCTTAGAGGTGGTTGAAAGGAGTCCAGCAAGAGGTAAACAAGTTAAACAAGAGATTACATCAGTCCTACAACTTCCTTCGCAAGGAAAAGCCTATTCCCAAGCCTTGTGACCTGAGGCTTCAAGCAGGTATTTGAAAATAGGCCTTAGAGGAAAAGGAGGAAGAGGTACCCTGAAGAAGAGTCCCATGTTCCATCTGATAAATTTTGAAGGCTCTTCTCAGTCGGCCATGGTGATATTCATGTGTCCTACATGCATACCTTTTTATGCCAGCACAGATGCCGTGCTACTTTTGGGATACGAATAATGAAACACTCAAGTCACCCAAATGTTTTCTTTTTCTTTCTGCGCCCCCCCCCCCCCCCCCCTTTCCTTTTTTCTCCACTGAGGTGTAATTCTTTGGTGAGGAAAAGATCAGTCAGGACTTGTTAACGTTGGGAGAAGCACGTCACCATTACGGAGGGCGTCTTGAAGTCCACGTGCTCTCCAGTGTCCCAGGGAATCTCTTATTGAGCATGGCTAGTAAATTTCTTCCAGAAGTGAGTAAAACTAAAAAGAGATCAAATTCACGTGATTGTGATTCTCTGTCAAGCATATGAGCACTCTATTAAGTGAGGTGTGGCCTTTGACTTTTTGAGGCACTTAGGTAATGAGCAGTCAGCTGACTCTAAAATGACTTAACTCTCAAGTATGGAGATGGAAGCAAATAGAAATACAGAATTGGTCTTGTCATAGACCTTTTAACGCAGAGGCTTTCTTCCGGCTTTATCTCCAACTCCCAAGGTTGAGAATGGAACTCATGTTCTCCTTCCTGTTGCTTTGTGCTTTCTTCGCATTCCTTATTTATAACTGGGTCACTTTTGGAACTAATTTGCCTTCTTGAAAAAATTGAATCACATGCTTTTTAGAATGAAAACTGAAAGCCTAATATTTGATGAAGCATTTGTTGGTACTTTACAACAACGTAATGATTATTTGGTTTTTCTTTCCTGTTTGACTATAGGCTTACATTTTCTGGGTTAGCATTATTTTTTACAGATGCTGTTCTTTGTAAATTATTAAAGCTGTTTCAGCTGAAATGTGGCTGTGCTTCTAGCTTCTTGTACTGAGCAACATTTCACAAGGCAGAATTTGGTAAAGCTTTTTGGTTGAAACACGTTATTGTTACTTTAGGTGCTGACTGTTCTGATGCCGACTTTCCAATTGCCTTGATTAAAGTAGAAACATTCTATGGCTTGGATGACTTACATTTCAAATTGGTTTGATCAAGATGATTGGTATGAAGGACTACAAAGAGTAAGATACATTTATGTTGTAATTATGATATTCTGTGGGTTTTGTTTTCTGCTTTACTACTCATGCAGCTGTGTTTCTTTGTCATTTATGTTGAGGACATTTTTTCATTGAAATATTCTGAGGGTAAATAAGATAATCACTTGATCGATTCAAAAGCAGAGGTAAGAAGAGAATATGTAAATATAGTTGTATATTGAGGAAAAGGCATTTTTTTTGTCCGTCCTGGTTTCAGATGAATTCTTAATTTTTTCAGATTATCTTTAAGCTTTAAATATAAAACAGAATTCTTTTTAATGAGACCGATGGATGAAAGTAGTAATACTTTTAACAAAATCATTTTACATAGAGAAAAACTCGATGAAATAGAAGATGTGCATGGTAATACTACATATATAATAATACTGTAAAAGAAAATGCAGAAATTTTCTGAAGAAGAGTGCCATATTCTATTTGATGAATTTTTAGGCAATTAATTATGTTTCAAAAGGACTTGGCATTGTTACTATGGCAACTTTTGCATAGTATTTTGAAAACAGCTATTCTGATCTGTTATTGCAATAGTAGAAAACTGCTATTTAAAAATGCATCTAATCAAGATGGATTTTGTGTAAAATTGTATGACGTCTCTGATTATTTTCACTTTTTTAATGGAAGTTTTCTTAATCATTTAGATGAAGGCACTTTGTGGATTTTTCTTTCTTTTTTCCTTTCTCTCTCCTTTCTCTCTCTCTCTCTCTCTCTCTCTTTTTTTCTTCTTACACAGCCTGGATTTTTCCTTTTATCAGTGACTGGAACAAAAGAGCCAGAGTATCTTCACGCAGTCTCACCAGCTGGTCCTCGTCGTCGTTCGAGGGCAGACAAGCCTGGAGATAGACAGCACTGCCTTCTCCCCCTCACTTCCTCGGGTCCCTTTCTCAGCACATCAATGAAAGACATTTTCCCAGTATTTTACTTCCTTTTAATTATCTCTTTTGTTGTAATTGCTCGGCAGTTTAAAGCCTCCTGCCCTTTGGGCTTTTCACAGTTTTTTCAACTGTGAAACAAGCCGGTGAACATCTCTGGAGCCAGTTAATAGCAAACCCTGGGGAATAATCCTCATATCGTGGACCCTAAAGCATTCTTCAGGACACAGGTGGAGGATCCATGGGTAGCTTTTCATTCTGGACTCCAGTCTTATCCATAAATGATGCAATTGTTCCAGCTTGTGGGTTTACTACGTGCCACAGGACACAGACACCCCACAGCATCTCCGTATTGTGCGTGCGCATTTTTAATGGAATAATACGCGCATTTCTGATGTGGATCCAGAGGCTTTTTTCCCAGTGTAGTCCGTGTATTTCTCAGTGGGAAAGCATAGGGATGGTAGTCTAGCTTGCTAAAATGCTTTTCACTAAAATTGGGTGTTCCTTTATATAGTGACTTTAGGGTAGTTTAGAGATTATGAGAATTCAAATTCTTTTCCTCTGTCCTGACACCATCCTGACACCCTTTAAAACTACCATTGGCCTTTATAAATGAATTCCTGGCTCTGAGACGTTTTACGAGAGTTGCCGTTATTCCATATGGATACAGTTTGACCCTGAAATGACCACATGGTCTTCGTGGGCTTGAGGTTCTTCTGGCTCAGGTTTTCATCAGTTCTTACATAGACTTAAATGGGAATGAACGATCCTGTTCCAAATAATGAGAATGGGCACACGAATGTTGACTAATTTCTTTAAAAATCCAGCTTAGGGGCGCCTGGGTGGCACAGTCGGTTGAGCGTCCGACTTCGGCTCAGGTCACGATCTCGCGGTCCGTGAGTTCGAGTCCGTGAGTTCGAGCCCCGCGTCGGGCTCTGGGCTGATGGCTCAGAGCCTGGAGCCTGTTTCCGATTCTGTGTCTCCCTCTCTCTCTGCCCCTCCCCCGTTCATGCTCTGTCTCTCTCTGTCCCCAAAATAAATAAACGTTGAAAAAAAAAATTTTAATAAAAAAAAAATCCAGCTTACTATTTGTCAGATGATGTGTCTGTGCATATATATCCTATATAATCAGCATTCAGCCTAGTACATTTTTCAATATAATATTTTTTAACTGTTCACAGGAAAAGATAAGTTGGATTTTTTTTTTTAGTTAAAATTGTGGTTTAAAAATGGAGTCTTTGAAAAATTACATACAAGTGAGTTTGATCTTTAGTACAGAATTACGATAGAATTAATTTTGATAGGAATAATATTGATGGCATATGTACATGTTTCTACAGATACACAGACACATATATATGAACTTAATTTTCACTTAGTTTTATAGTTTTATTTTTGGCAGTTGTAACTATAATTAAATTTTTTTTTTTAATGTTTATTACGTGAGAGAGAGAGAGCAAGCAGGGGAGGGGCAGAGAGAGAGGGAGACACAGAATTGGAAGCAGGCTCCAGGCTCTGAACTGCCAGCAAAGAGCCCGACATGGGGCTTGAACCCACAGACTGCAAGATCATGACCTGAGCCGAAGTTGGCCGCTTAACCGACTGAGCCACCCAGGCACCCCTATATTTTAAATTTCATTGTGATTATTTCATATCTGCATACTCTCACATATTCAAAAATGAGCTTTAATATTATACAAATCTAATGTAAATATACTCTTACCACTTTAATTTTTTTGCATTTCATGCACTTAATGTGTAGAGCATCTCTACTGTAATTATAATGTATGGAGGTGCATTTCATAGGAGATTGAAACAAAAAATTGAATTTAGGTTAAGAAAATAAAGTAATACCTTTGCAAGTAGGCTGTTGCCAGGCTACTGACAATGTCAGTTGCATGTGGGGTGTCCCAATGCTCCGACTGTCTTCCTGAATCCTTTATAAATCTCCATTATTCAGTGTACCAAAAGGGTTAGTACTTCATCTTTAAAGTGTGCATGTTGTTTCTGTGCCAGAAAGATGGTATTTTCTAAAGCAACAAATCTTTGGAATGAACAGGAGATTAAGTCATTCTCTCTCTCTCTGTCTCTCTCTCTCTCTCTGTCTCTCTCTGTCTCTCTCTCTCTCTCTCTCTCTCACACACACACACACACACACACACACACACACGAAACATTCTAAAGTAAGGATGCAAAAGGGTACATCATATTTATCTGAAATATGTAATGAGCTTACATTCAGTTAACATATATTTTCCTAAATATATGACATTTTATAGGATTTATATTTAAGGTACAGACACATATGTTAGAATAGACCTTCAGTTGAACATTTTCCATTTTCAGTAATGCAGAGTCATTAATTGTGTAATATTCATGCGGACTACAAAGATAACACAAGCTTCTGGACATTTCTTTTTATGTCTTTAGTGATTGCAGATACCACTTTATAGGAGCTACTTAGTTTTACATATATTTAATAATACTTTTGAAAAAAAATAAAAATAAAAATAAAATACTGCCTATAATTTAGATGTATAAATGCAGTAGTATTTATATATTTAATGATGTATAACTTTTTTCAAATTTCATCCAAAATCCTAGATTTTTAAAATAAGTCACTATTTTGTTTTATCCTGTTTATTATTAATGGCTGGTTTGGACACGTTATTCAACTCTGAATTTAAAAAGGATTTAAGTTGTTAGACTGTAAGACTTATAAAAGCTGCTTATGAACAAGGTCATATCATATTGGATGACAACAATGATATTTTTAGATTATCTAAGTTTGGAAATTCAAAAGTAGTGAATTCAAGATATACTGATAGTTAAAGTAAGAGTGTATTGACGAAATGGAATTTGAAGTAACTTATTTTTAATAAATAGTTAGCAGAGGGACTTTAGGTTTCTAGTCTGCCAGGTAAGGAGCTTAGAAGTCTTCATTTCATCCTTAAAATGATATAAAGCTGAACGAACTGAGAAATCAAGAACTCTTCTTAGATCTCTAAGAGAAGTGAGATCACAAGGCAGATTGCTTCTCACACCACTGGAGACACTGACAGGCAGTTACAGAAATTCACAACCTACTGGAGCAGAGACCTACCAGCTAAAGCCTCTGCAGGAAGCAGAACCAGGGTAGGAAAAACTGAACTAACTGATGCATTGCTGTGAGGCTCCTGTGACAAGTCTGAGAGTTAAAAGTTCCAGGGAGCCTGCCATGCTTATGTGCTTTTACCTCCAGGATCTCTACTAGGCCTTCACCATGAAAATCAGGGAAAATCCCTGCATGCTCCTGGCTGGGGGAGGGGAAAAGGAAGTATTGTGAAATATGTCCAGGCATTTTGTTCTTAGCAAGGGTGTTCTCAGGGGAAACTCTTTCACCAGAGCCCAACTTGCTGGTTATTTCAGAACCTACCCTATGTGGCAGAAGGGAAATAGCTATCTCAAGCCCACTGTACCCCTCATGTCCCTCCTGGGGAATAAAAAACCCCCAAGAATCAGAGGCAAAATTCACATTCCACAGGCATAGACTCACCAAAAGACAGAGACCTAATCTTAGCACTTTCAAATGCTTCCTCATGTTTCCTCTCCACCCTCAACGTACCATTGCATTATAAAGGTCTGCGTACCACGGTTCCTTTTACCACTACATTCATGTTCTCCTCTCAAAGATTACAGGGCATACTAAAAGGCAAAAACAAAACAAAAGAACCCCCAAAACCCCCCAAAACAAAAACAAAACCCAACACACAAGCAAAAAACCAGAAGCAATTTATTGGAAGGGAGTAAAAAAAAAAAAATCAGAACAAGAATCAGATATGGCAGGAATGTTGGAATAATCGGACCAAGAATTTAAAGAAACTGTGGTTATATGCCAAGGGCTTTAATTAAAAAAAAATAGACAACATACAAGAACAGATGGATAATTTAAGCAGAGAGATGGAAATTCTAAAAGAATCAAAAAGAAATGCTAGAGTCAGAACACTGTAACAAATGAAGAAGTCCTATAGTGAATTCATTAGCAGACTGGATATGGCTGAAGAAAGAATTTCTAAGCTTGAGGATATGACCGTAGGGACTTCCAAATCTGAAAAGAGA